GTTGCTCAGGGAAGGAAGTGCCATGACCAGGATGAAGTAGCAAATGAGGACCACGGTCTCTCTCTTCCCACCTTCCCTCTCCCCCACCAGGGGGATGATGGCGTATCAGGGACGAGACTGCAGCTTCACAGCCCTGGCACCCACTGCAGCATAGACAGGCTGGCTTGAAGCTAAGAGCCTGGACTTTCTAATGCAGGCCTAGTCCCTGTCATCACCATTCTACAAACCACTGGCAACTGAGATCTTGTTTAGGGTCTGCTTTGAGGGCAATCCCACATAACTGAAACCTCCATGAATCCCCCACCTTGATACCAAACCTCCTTCACTGGAGGTTTTATTGGGGATCTCTGGGGTTGCAAGAACAGAAACCAACTCTGACTCATAAAGACACGGAAGCTGCATATCCAAAACAGGCGGTGTAACACTCAGAACTGAAGGGAAGCCTGAGGAGCCTGCCTGAACCAGCCTGGAAATGGACAGAGGCTGTAGCGAGCCCTAGGACTGGGAGGCACAGTGGGGACCGTGGGGACCACATCAGGACTCCCCAATCACAGGGTGGCTCCTGCATATTCATCTTGGCTCTGCTGGACTCAGATCTCCTATTCCAACAGTGGGTCTGGTTTGGGACACTTGCCCACCCACAGGGAGAGGAAGGCGGGGTGTCTCGTGGGTCAGATCAGGGCTGTAACTGGTGTGAAGGAGCAGCTCCTCAGGACAAGATCAGAGCTGCGCCCAACCAGCAGTGGAGAGGGAGGGGTGTTTGCTGGGGAGACGCCAACCAGCCATCTCAGATTGTTCCCCCCAGAAGCTGACTGTGACACAGGAGTTGAGGTAAAGTTATTTATTTGGAAGGAAGCATCTTTATGTAGGGAAGTAGAAAGTGGGACAGGAGAGGAGGGGTCCCATTTGGGCCACAGGGATGAGTGGGTCTCTCCACCCGCATCTGCAGCTGACACCCACTGGGGACCGTGTACAACAAGCCTCGGGGTGGTCCCAATGGAGGGGCAAGAGAGCTGGGGTGTCCATGCACCTGGGCATCTCCATTCTAGATGAGGACCGCTCCCGGAGCCCCAGTACTGCCAGCCTGCCCAGTGTGTGGACCGAGCTCACTCCTGGGGCTGCAGGAGCCCCCGCAGAGTCACACGTGCCTGCTCTGCTGCTTGCGCATGGGGGCCTGAACCAGACCGGCGGGGGCGGAGGACCAACCTGCGGGCCAGCTCCTAACTGCGGCTGAAACAACAGTGGTCACTGGTCACCGTGACTCCAATGCTTGGAGAATGGCGGCTCCTGGGAACTGGGAGGCAGTTTCTTTATGGAGGAGGTGGCTCTGGACAGTCTCGGTCCTGGGCTTGAGGCTGAGTCAAAGAGGAGCCCAGCCTCCTCCTGCTCCCCGACACAGCAGTTTGGACCAGTCATCCGGGCACTGGCACTGTGGGGTCTCAGTGTTTGGCAAAGCTCCAGCCTTCTCCTGTCATCTGTGTTGCTGGGGAACCTGCTTTGGGCCCCTGTGTTTATCTTTTTTATACAAACTTAAGTGCTTGTTTTCAGAGACCTCAAGAGAGGAAAACCCAGGAAATGAACCCGTTCTGCAGCTCTCCTGGGGGAAACAGAACAAAGTAGGAAAAGTGCAGAGGGGCAGCCAGGAAAATGAGCGGGTGGGGCACTGGGGCAGGGGGAGCGGGGAGGTGCAAGGGTCAGAGACCCCGCCCAGACCCCAAGGCGCTCACCACAGGCTGCCCTGCACATCACACTGCAAGCCTGCCTTCAAGCAAGGGCGGCTCTGGGAGATGCTGCTCATCTGACCCCTCGGTCCCCCTCAACCCACCACCTTCCTCCCCTCCTCCTGTTTCTCCCACACTCCCCCCTTTACTTGTCTTCCTTGAACAGCCTGGTCCATTCCTGCCCCAGGACCTCTGCACCAGCCGTTCCTGCTACCTACAATGCTCTTCCCTCTGATCTGCACACCATGGGCCCGTCTTGTCATCAGGTCATCACCTCATCCATGGGGTCTTCACTGGACTGTCCACCCCAGAAGAGACACCCTTTCTGTCTAGCACATGCCCCTGTGGTGCCTTCTCTTATTTAGTTATCTTCCTGCCGGTGCAATTCCTCCCTTGCTCAGAAAGTCGTGACTGTGACAGCTGAACACATTCAGTGTCCCCTGCTGTCTCCCCGCCAAAGCCGTGAATGATTAGAACAGCCCCCCTCAGTCCACTTTTGATCACTGATTGAATAAAATATAAAAATGACATTTCTTTCCAAAAAGATACCCCCCACCTTTTTAAATAATTAGCCGAACACATGACCCCCAAAATTAAAAGACTTACTGGGGAAAAGACGAGCTTTGCAGGAGTGGTTCTGTTGAATCTAATATATACACTGGTCCAAATTCCCAGCACAGTCTGGGCTCCAGGTAAACGTTTCCATTATTCTCTCTTAAGCTTTTAAATGATACATATTTCAAAATGTGCCATGGAGCAGGTCCTTCACTCATCTTATAGAAAGAGCAGCAAAAGCATATGTCTATCTTGAAATCCAAACCTCACATGAATTCAGAGAGAGATTTTTTTAAAGCTCTACACAGAAAGGAAAGGTGACTCCATTTAGTATTCTTTGTATGATTTCTAACAAAGAAATACTAGAATGTAATTTATGACACTATTAATTTTCTCTAATGATGTGTGGTTGTCTTGCCAGATACCTTTGTTTAGGGAGATGCAATAATCCATTTCAGCACATTTATTCACTGCCCATAATGTATTTTGGAGCATCTACATGGAGAAGGAGTAATTTCTTATTTGGCTAAGCAAAAAAAAAAAAAAAAAAAAACCAAAAAAACAAAAAACTTTTGGATTGTTAGTAGAGAAAAAGAGATGCCTATAGGCAGCATAAAAATGTTTGTAAAGATTCTGGTTTCAAGTAGTTTCTGTTTCCTAGGATGTGACACTGCAGATACCTGAGTGCACATGTATGCACAGGAGAATACACATATGTGTATTATGGGACATTATATTATGGTAATTGAGATCATTAATAAACTTGTAAACTCTCCCTTATCAGAACTGCACTCTGCCTGGCAAACAGTATGTTCAGTAAATGTGCATCTGTGCTCAGTCGCTCAGTCATGTCTGACTCTTTGCAACCCCATGGATGTAGCCCACCAGGCTCCTCTGTTCATGGAACTTCCCAGGCAAGTATACTTGGGTTGCCATTTCCATCTCCATGTGATCTCCCCAACCCCAGGATTGAACCAGCCTCTCCTATGTCTCCTGAATTGCAGGCAGATTCTTTACCACTTGAGCCATCAGGGAAGCCCCTCAGTAAATGTTAAGCGAGTTCATTAATTAACTGCTGAACAAGGAACTGCATGGTGACATTTGATTTTGCTTTTGAAGCCCGACCCAGGAGTGCAATCTCTGCGTGAGAAACTCTTAAGTGACTCAGCCAGAAGGACACAAGGTACATGTGCTACGCAGGCGGCCCTGGCACCCTACTTCCTGCCCGTGACCCCTACTGCTTCCATGCATCTCCACGCCTGGTGTCCAAACGCCTGCCTGCACCTGCGATTCTCAGTTGAGGGCTGTCCTGGGGCCTCCCTTCTGGCTGGGTGTTGACCTACCCAGCCCCTGCATCCTCGGGCAGGGTAACTGAAGACTGAATTCTACCCCATTTCCAAGAGCCCCGAGGGATGGGGTAGCACCTGGTAGCACCTCTCCTCTCTGATGCCCTGCTGCCCCCACCTCCATCTCCTGCCCTCCTAGCACTTCCTGGGACCACATCCCCAGAAGTGACATCAGATCCTTGCTGCAGGGTCAACTTCTTGGGGAATCCAAACTGAGACAGACACCTTTAATCATCTGACTTCTAACAAAGCACCCGTCGTGCAACCATGTGCTTGTGCCTGAAATGTGGTGAAAACAAGCCGATTCATCACCTGACACGTTTCAGGTGTGAAATCCAGACTCTGAGCCTCTAATGAGCCCTGCAATGCTCCAGGACGAAGGGCTACTTTCTTAAATGAGCTCAGCTCAGTGGCTGTTAGCAGGGCAACCCTGTCCTGAGTGAGGCTGGCCCACATGCAAGCCCAAGGCCCCTGTTAATCAGACAAAGGATGTGCAAGCAAAGAAAACATTCTAATTAAGGCTTCATTGGTAAGCCAGACAGGCCAACCATGGTCTAATCCAAACAAGAACCTTGTATCCTCACCCTTGTAGCCTCTGTTCTAGGACATCAAAGCACACGTCTGCAGGGACCCAGAGGCACCTCCTCCTGGTTAGCTCAGGCACTGGAGGATCCCTTCTCTCCCAGTTTCTTCTCGTTTGCCTTGTCTTTTCAATCGTGGTCTCCACAACGACAACAGTCTCTTTGTACATCTGGATGCTCCTGGTGGAAAACTTCTCTATGGATTCCATCACCTCCACTTTCTTTCAGGCCAGCTTCCTGGGAGGGCTTCTCACAGGCCGGCTGCCGCTCTGAGTCCCATGCCCTTTGGACCCACCCAGAGTGACCTGAGGCCCTTGAGACCGGGGTGTAGACAGCCCCTCTGGACCAGGTGCCACCATGAGACAGGGCCGTCTGTCCCCCTCCTCCTCCTTCTAGCCATCCTGTTTCCCCTGGAGGCCCTTCAGTTCTGTGGCATTTTTCTCATCCCCTTTGTCTGCAAGGTGTGGGGTGGGGGGGCATCCATGTTCTTTCCCCTTCAGGGGCCCCCTTCATCCTTCAGAGCATCTTCTTCCCCCTGGGGGCCCCCCTTCCTCCTTCAGACCGTCTTATTCCCCCTCGGGGCCCCCTTCATCCTTCAGAGCATCTTCTTTCCCCTGGGGGCCCCCTTTCATCCTTCAGAGCATCTTATTTCCCCTGGGGGCCCCCTTCATCCTTCAGATCATCTTCTTCCCCCTGGGGGCCCCCTTCCTCCTTCAGACCGTCTTCTTTCCCCTGGCCCCCCCCCCTTCCTCCTTCAGACCATCTTCTTTCCCCTGGGGGCCCCCTTCATCCTTCAGACCGTCTTCTTCCCCCTGGGGGCCCCCCTTCCTCCTTCAGACTGTCTTCTTTCCCTTGGGGGAACCCTCTCCATCCTCCAGAGGGTTCTCAGGCTGCTGGGGAGAGGGCTCCATGCCGCTGTCAGGACGCACAGAGTCTCCCCCTTAGAAGCCACCATGCCCCTTTTGCTGGGATGGAGAAGACACAGAAGCCAGGACCCACGAGACTGGCGTCTCCAGAGACTGTCATGTGCCGCCTTTTGGTGTACAGGTCGGCGGGGGGCTCGGGTTCTTTGGGGCCTTTCACCTCCTTGATCATCTTGCCTAGTTTCTCAAAGTCTTTGCTTATCTTGTCTCCATCTGGGACATCCTCCAGAGCCCCTTCCTAGGTCGGGGGACTTGCTTCTTCATCCCCCGGTTCAAGCTTAGACTTGCCTTCTTCTTTGAGCACCACCCGCCCCGGCTTTGTGTCCTCTGGGCCTCTCAGTGGTGTCTCTTCCAGAATTTCATCTGCTCTATCTTTCGCTACCATCTCCTTTTTCCTCGGAAGGTTCTTGGGGAGGCCTTTGAGTCTTGGTTTCACTGCAGTTATATCCTGCACATCTCTGGTAAGATCTTTGAAAAAAGAAAAAAAGGAGGTGGGTGCAATGAGTCAAAGCCAATGAAAGAGGAAGAAAAAGTATTTGTTGTAAAATACAAGCCTAGCACTGGGGTGGGGCTTACTGGTTGGCTGGTTGGCAACAAGGTAATGAATGCTGGGTCCTAAGCATTCATGGCCCACACTGAGGACCCAGCCCTGCGGGCTGCTGTGTGACTTTAGGACAAGTCACTTGGCCCCTCTGGGCTTGCAGAGCGGAGGGGAGGCCCCCACAGTTCCCTTCACACTGGGTACAACTTACTGAGATCCGTGTTTCTCCTGCAATGACACTCTGTGGGAGCAGGGCCTCTGCCCCACCCCAGCACCCTCACCTCTGGTCACAGGGGACACTCGGATCCAGCCCACACCAGGAAATTCAGGCCAGAGAGCCACTGTCACCTCAGGCTTCCCCAAAGGAGCAACTCAGAGTCACCCCACCTTCCTCTGATGGGTTTGGAATAGCCTCCAGGCACACCCTTGGCCCCCCTGCACCCCAAGCCAGATAAACACCACCACTCCTTGCTTACCATCCCCTTCCTCCTGTGAAACAAGAGGAAACTATGCCCTTAAACCCAGAATGGGAACCCCCTGGGCCAGAGGCCACATTCACTGCTTCAAACCAGCCAAGAGGAGAAACTTAAAGTTTCAGAAAACACACCGTTTCACCCTGTCTCATCCAAAAGACGGGCTTTTAGTTCCAGGCGGCGGCTGCTGCTGCTGCTGCTACTGCTAAGTCGCTTCAGTCGTGTCCGACTCTGTGCAACCCCATAGATGCAACCTGCAAGGCTACCCCGTCCCTGGGATTCTCCAGGCAAGAACACTGGAATGGGTTGCCATTTCTTTCTCCAATGCATGAATGTGAAAAGTGAAAGTGAAGTCGCTCAGTCATGACCAACTCTTAGCGACCCCATGGACTGCAGCCTACCAGGCTCCTCCGTCCATGGGATTTTCCAGGCAAGAATACTGGAGTGGGGTGCCAGTGCCTTCTCCAACACAGGTAGATACAGCCATATATGTAGGCATGGGTACAGATAGGAATAATGGAGACACCACTGTAGATGTGTGTGTATATAGACAATGCAGGTACCGATGGTTTATACATGTACATAAAGACAGTGGGGGTGTAGACAGTTTATGCATGTACATAAAAACAATGGAGACGTAGACAGTTTATCAGGTCAGTTCAGTGATTCAGTTGTCTCCGACTCTTTGTGACCCCATGAACCGCAGCACGCCAGGCCTCCCTGTCCATCACCAACTCCAGGAGTTTACTCAAACTCATGTCCATTGAGTCAGTTATCTCATCCAACCATCTCATCCTCTGTCATCCCCTTCTCCTCCTGCCCTCAGTCTTTCCCAGCATCAGGGTCTTTTCAAATGAGTCAGCTCTTCACATCAGGTGGCCAAAGTATTGGGGTTTCAACTTCAACATCAGTCCTTCCAATGAACACCCAGGACTGATCTCCTTTAGGATGGACTGGTTGGATCTCCTTGCAGTCCAAGGGACTCTCAAGAGTCTTCTCCAACATGACAGTTCAAAAGCATCAATTCTTTGGTGCTCAGCTTTCTTTATACTTGTACATAAAAACAGTGGAGATGTAGACAGCTTATACATGTACACAAAAACCATGGAGGTATAGATACTTTATGCATGTACATAAAGATGATGGAGATTTAGATACTTTATGTGTAGATGAGGTGTAGGCTTAGGTGATAAAGATGTAAGTGTAACCATAGATAATGTAGATATAGGTATATGTAGATACAGATGTAAGTGATATAGACATGGATACAGATGATGTAGATGTGGATGGAGGTAGAGATGCAGATGTAGACACAGAGGTAAGTGCAGGTGTAAATGTAGGTGATGCAGGCATCAGCATAAATAACAGGTGTTGAAGAAGATGGTGCAGGTGCAGAAAATGCAGACGTGGGGTAGACGTACATGTCGATGATCCAGACAGACATAGATGGCCAAGTAGGTGTCAGATGTAGATACAGATGATGTAGGCGTAGGTGATGCAGAGGCAGGTGTAGGTGTAGATGATACAGATGTAGGTTAGGTGATGTGGGTGTAGCTCCAGATGATGTAGAGAATGTAGGTGTAGTGTAGATGTACACATACAGATGCTGTAGACACAGATGTGGACATAAGTATACATGTAGGTGCAGACATGGTCACATAGATGAACATGGAGGAAACGGAGAGTAGCTGATGCAGGTGTAGATGTGAATGAGGCTGAGACAGAGACAGAGACACTTGCCAGCAGAGTTCACGTCCCAATGCATCATGCAGAGGAGACCAGACAGCCTGCTGGCAGCCACAGAACTGACTGGCCAGGTGCTCAGGGTCACCATGGCAGCAGCAGTAATAATATCAACTGCTCTGAGCTCTGGTCCAATTCCAGGTACTGTGCAGGCATCTTGCCTGCAGCATCTCAATAACCATCTCTGGTCATCCTTTCAGCTAAGACATTCCTGTCCCCAGAGACCTGTGGAGCTGAAAGGCACCTTGACATCCAAACACTCCCATGGTCATCTTCATCACCTCTCCCCTCCTCCCACCATCACTCACACTGGAGCCCATATCTCTGTTGCAAACCCATTCATCCTCTGCCTCCCCCACTGCCATTCCAGGCCCGTGAGGTCCTGGATATGGGGGTCTGCTTCTGGTGGCTCAGACAGTAAACAATCTGCCTGCAATGGGTCAGGAAGATCCCCTGGAGAACAGAATGGCTACCCACTCCAGTATCCTTGCCTGGAGAATCCCATGGACAGAGGAATCTCGTGGGGTATAGTCCAGGGGGTTACAAAGTCGGACAAGACTGAGCAACTAACACTTTCACTTTCCTGCCACATTCCCTACAGCCTGGAACTGGCACATGGAAAAACATGAAACAAGTAAGTGGTTCTGTGCCCACGGGCTCTACCCACTCCGACCCCACCTGTTGCCTGTATTCTCGATGCGAAGATACCAGTCCAACTCATTCCTCAGGGTCTGCTGGGCGACCACCAGCTGCCGGCAGTCATAGGATGACCTCTCCAGGCTACTCTCTGCCTCTTTGGTCTCCTTCCGCAGGGTGTCGATCTGCTCGTTGTAGAGCTGAATCTCGCCATCATCACACTCGTGGGCGTCTCTGATGGCTTGTTCCAGGGCCGCGATCTGTGGGCAGAGACACGGTCACGAGGAAACCCAGCCACCCTCTCCCTTCAGACACAGATGCAGCAGTGGAGAATCCAGACGGCATGCCCAGTTGTATTTGTCTTGTTGGTTTGTTTCTCTGTCAGCAGAGAATCTTTAAGCCACAGAAGGATGTGACAACTGAACCCCTTCCCCTGATGCTTGTATCAGCACCCCCGGAAATCAGCCTTTAGCGCAGCCCCCGACCCAAGGCAGTACAAAGATGAGAAACTCAGAAAATAAAAACTGCCATCCCTGGACTAACATGTACAACTCAGGGTACATTCTTCATACTTTACTGAGTTAGCATGAAAAAGCAGTAAAAAGAAGAACATGGACTAAAGCGATAAGATGCTATAATAATGAAGGGGGGGGTTTCCTTCACCTTATTCAATCACTATGGCACTTTAATTTTCTCCTGATTTCTGACCAGTAGAGTTACATATATGTTTTGATAGCTAAAATGTGTGTGTTTGTGTGCACTGGCACTTAAGTAAAATAACTTCAGAGAAATGCTATTTATATATTAAAGCAGGACAAGTCAAAATTAAGGTAGGAAAATGAAAAGAGATTCCTCATCTTCACTTTAAGAGCTGTGACAACCCACAAGCAGCCACAAGCTGCTTACTTATTTACAAGCTAACTTATTTACAAGCTCAGTACAAGCTCTCTTTCCCACGGATTAAAGGTCTAACAGAAAAAAAAAAAAAAAAAAGGTCTAACAGGCGTGGCCAGTCCTCCAAAACAAAATAAAACGTGTAAACTGAAAGCCACTTCATCTGGAAGAGCGCTTGTCAAACTTCAACACGCATGTGAACCACCCGAGGGTACCGCTTTGCTCAGATTCTGACTCAGCAGCTCCAGTGGACCGGAGGGGCCGGGTTTCTAAGTGGCTCCTTGGGAGAGAAAAACCCAGGAAATGAACCCATTTTGCAGCTCTCCTGGAGAAAACAGAACCAGGTAGGAAACTGCAGAGGCGCAGACAGGAAAATGAGCCAGTGGGGCGCTGGGGCAGGAGCCCTCGACCTACCGCCTCCCTCCCCTCCTCATGTTTCTCCCACACTCCACCCTTTACTTGTCTTCCTTGACCAGCCTAGTCCGTTCGTGCCCCAAGGTGCTCACCGCAGGCTTCCCTGCACTTCACACTGTAAGCCTGGCTTTAAGTAAGAGGGGCTCCGTGAGACGCTGCTCATCTGGCCCCTTGGTCCCCCTCGACCTACCGCTTTCCTCCCCTCTTCCTGTTTCTCCCACACTCCACCCTTTACTTGTCTTCCTTGACCAGCCTAGTCCGTTCCTGCCCCAGAAAAGGCACGGGAGTAATAAACCCACCGGGCTCATATTTCTCGGTTCTTTCACCTGCCCTGGAGTCTAAAGGTGCCCAGGGATGAAAGGTGCTTGGAGTCAGGGTGATGTGCATGGTTGAGACTGCGAAACCACCTACGGCGGCTGTGGGTTGGGCTTTGCTAGCTGGCACCGCCCCGGAATGGGCGGGGCCGGGGCCCTCTGGGGGCGGGGCTTGGGGTAGCGGGCCCCGTTTCCCGGGTGACGGCCGCGCGGAAGAGGCTAGGCGCGGGCCTCCAGGCTCCCCAGGGTGCGACCTGAAACCGTGGCCTCCGAGAGTCGATCAGTAGTAGGGCAGAAGAGAGCGCCAGAGGCCAGCGGCTCTGGACCGAGCAACTCTAGTCGTGGGGACGGGCGGCCGAACGGAATGAGGCTTGGGGGAGGCTGGTCTGAGTGACAGGCTGGGGGCGTGGCCCGTGAGACCCGGAAGCGTGCGAGGCGTGAGTGGGGGTGCCCGGCCTTGGGCGACTAGCAGTATACCCAGCACTCCGAGCTGTGGGCCCGCAGGTCCAAGCGTGCGGCCGCGCGTCTGGGTGGGGCAGCGGCGCGGGCGGGCCAAGCCTGGGGACTTCCAGCAGCTGTGGGAACTGGTGGAAGAGCACGTTCCGCTCCCGGAGCGGCCCGAAGTGAAGAGGATTCTAGGGGAGACGACAGTGGATCTGAGCCTGGAGCTACGGGCAGAGGTGGGGCGTAGGAAGGTGAGCCCCAAGGCAGACCTGTCCCAGGACTCGAATGATTTTCTCACCTTCTACGGGTCCCTAGCCCTGCCCAGTAACTCTCGAGCTCTTGTCGGATCCCATTGTCCGCCCAACCCTCTCCAGTTTTAACTGCCCTGCCCCTCATTCCCCCAGCTCCCCTGCCTCCCTTCACTTCCCTCCGCAGTCGCCGAGGTGCCCTGGCTGTCCTTGCAGGTAGTGATGTTACGATCATTGCTCCAAGAGGCTCCATCTATCCAAGCCTCTGGATAGCGCCCCATCTCTGACCTCTCCTCCCTTCTGGCACCACCGCCCCTCCTAAGAGATCTTGTGCGCCAGGAACTGTGGCAGCTGCTCCAAGGTCTCCACTGGAAGGCCATCTGTGAGGGCAGGTTGGAGCTCCAGACCTGGGTATGGGCCCTGTCTCCAGAACTCAGATGGGCTAGCCTGGCAACTGACAAGGGTCCAGGATCACCTTTCCTGTGGTTCCCTGGAAGGATCCCCTCAGTTGCCTTTATGCATCTTCTGCAGGGACTAGACCCACGTTTGGGTCCAGTATAGCCCCAGGGTCCTGCACTTTGCCTTGGAGGAGCCCAGGCCTGATGTGCCAGAACAGGAGATGTTCCAGATGAGAGCTGGTGAACCCAGGTGTAGTAGGAGGAGAGGAGGGATCTGTCCTTGCTGGGCGAAGGACCCCAGCCAGCTGGTAGGTCCCACCTGTGGGCGTGGAGGAATTCCTGGTCTGGGACTGACGCTTCTACAGCCACCTGTGGTAGAGGTCAGCCCATGAGGGCTTCAGAGACCCAGGAAGCACGTGCCAGTCCTGGGAGCTTGGTTCCAGCTGGGTTTTAGAGTACAAGCAACAGACTTCCAGACAGAAACAAAGAGCAGCGCTTTGCAGGGAGACGGAGAAGGACATGCAGATAGGAGTGGAAGGAGAGACTTCACCCAGCGGCCGGTTGTCCCGCAGGCTGGGATAGCCAGGCTGCGAGGACTGGGTTAGAGAGGGCTAGGGACTGAACGAAATAAATGAGCAGCAGCATGTTCATCCGTGAATGGTAGCAACTTATTTCTCACACATCCTTATGAAAGGGGTGATGGCCCCATTTTGCAGATGATACTAAAGCTCAGAAGGGATGATTGACTTTCCCAAACTCACACATAGTAAAGGGTTGTAGAACCCATGTGCAATCCCAGGCTCCAGATCTCCTCCTTTTACTACCATCTTGTGTTGCCTTTGTGAGAAAGCACAAAATTGTCTAGGAGAAATGGTGTTTGTGTCCTGAAGGCCTGGGGTGAAGCAGCATGGGAGAGTGAGGTTGACTTCATCTGCCAGCAGCTGTCACCAGGACCTCAGCGTCATCAAGGACCAGCTGAATGTGTACCACATTGACCAGCCTTCTGGACACGTGCAGTGAGGCCCCCAAGTGTGTGCAGTGTGGGTGGGGACAGGGAGGGTGGGACTGTGGATGGACCCTGATGTACTGGGACTACTGGGAGGAGAAGGGAGGGAACACACCTGGCTGGGAGACCCAGGAGAGTGGGGCTGAGAGGTGGAAAGGGCAGGATGCTGATGAGGTTGCTGCCAGGAATCAGTCAAGTACAGATGCCTACATGGGCCTTGGCCTGAGGACTTTTATCCTGGGAGGTGGGGAAGAGATGCCACACGGAAGAGTTTTTAAAGCAGGGGCAGGGCTGTCATGCGGGAGAGAATGGAGGCAGGAGGACCCGCAAGTCTAGTTCTATCATGTAGAAGAGACTGCTGCTTCTGAGGGTGGGCACTGGGAGGTGGGCAAGGAGAGAGGACATACCCTGCCCAGGAAGAGGCTGGCAGGGCTGCAAGGCTGTGCTGGAACAGCATGAGGGCAGCAGAGGGAGAGGTGGACCGAGATAGGAGGGCCTAGAGGAGGCTCCTGGGGAGGCCGGAGGTTGGGACCCCGTGGAGGGCTCTGCTGAGACCTGGGCCTGTAGCACTGCTTCTGGTGCCGCACTGTCCATGTCCCAGGGCCGTCCTGGAGGAAGAGTGCCATGCTCTGAAGAGGGAGATTCCCATCCTGCAGGTGAGCTGCAGTCCTTGGCCGCCCCGCCCTCAGCCCTTCTGCTGAGCGTAGACACCCCCGTTTCTCACCCAGGGCGTGAGATCCACACACCTGCAGAGGCTGTGTGAACCCTGGGTCCATTTTTCCTGTATGCACACTTATGTGTGTGATCCTTAAGTACATGAACCCATATTCCAGTTGAGTCCCTAAGTCCAAGGTCAGCACTTTTAGATCAGCTGCTGGGTCTGCCTAGGTCTTTTGCCTCCTTCTCTTCCCTAAGTCTGGGTTCAGGCCTGCCACCCTCTTGCCAAGCTCAGCTTTTCAGGGAGAGGCTGGTGTTCCTCTCAGGATTGCCCCCAGGTGATTGGGAGGAAGGGACTGCACGGGCTGGTTCCTGTGCCCCACCATGGGGATCCTGGCCTGGGCATCCTGCCGTAAAGCCAGGCACTGAGCCAGCTCTCCCTGCAGCGCTGCCTGGAAGATGAGTATTCAGGGGCCCCCTGGCCCTCTGAGGCAAGCCTAGAGCCCACCCTGGCAGGTGAGGACCCTAGCAGGTCCCAGAGCACCCAGCGCTCCACCCTTCCCACTTCCACCCCACCCACACCCATCCCACCTTGCTCTTGTAACACACCCTGGAAGACTGGGTGCTGTGTCCCAGGCAGAATGTCTCCTCCAGAGCTAAAGGAACAGAAGGCAGCCAGGCAACAGGAGCTGCAGGCACCCCTGAGGCCTTCCTGTGTCTCCCCCAGCCACAGGTAACCGAGAGCAGACAGACAGCTGGATGGGGCAGGCTGAGGAGCAGGCCACAGCCCCCTCACAGTTACTCCCTCCCATTCAGGCCACAGCCCTTGGGGTCCTCCAGTCAGGGCACTGGACTTCTGCCTTGCCTCCACAGGGCTGCTGGAGTTTGGGCTAGGCTTCTCCAGCGCTGCCTGCCTGCTCCCCTCTGGAGTGCTGCCCCAAACCTCGCGGCCTGGCCGCCACCTGCCGCTGGGAACAGAAGATTCAGTGCCGCCCCGGGAAAAGGCCAGCTTCTACTCTGACGTCCAGTGCAGCGCCCCAGGCTCCAACCTGAAGGGCTCCTCAGGAAGGAGGCTTCAGCTTCGGCTGGAACTCGTCCTGTCGCTCCTGCTGTCTTTCAGCTGCCAGGGTCCAGCCCACTTCTGATCTAGTCTAGGATGAGCCCTCCCCAGGATTCCACTGCTGTCTGTCTGTCTGTCTGGCCCTGACCCTACCTTCTCAGCAGGTCCTCAGTGTCCGGTCCTGACTGTCACAGCCTCTGGCCTTTCTCCTCCCAGGCATCCCCCCAAAGGCCTGGCAGGAGGAGGTCTTGTCCCAGCCCTGACTCATGTCCTGCTGGAGGACCCAGACAAAACACAGCAGCAGCTCAGAGACAGGAATAGAAATTTCATGAAAATCTATGGACTTTAAAAACCTAGTGGTGCGCAGATGGTTGGGGATGGGAGGCGCACCGTTACTGCTACAGAGGATTAGAGGCAGCTCTTCCGGGGCTGTCGCTGCACAGAGGGGCGCAGAGGACAGACACACAGACACTGCAGGGCTTGGGGAAAGGAGTTTTGGCTCCAGAGAGTGGTTGGGGCACACGGGCTGGGGCAATTTGGCACCTGAACAAGGGTAGCCCAGTTCGGGAAGACTGGGCTTTAGCCTGGTGGTGGTAGGGCAAGGGGGTGCCGTGTAGGGTCCACTTCCCCTGGTCTCTGGGCTCAAACCTCCTGCTGAGCATCTCCCCATCTCTACCCCCAGAAACGAGTTCTTTGGGCGGGCTGTTGGGTCATGGGACTCTGCTGGGCTGGCCCTGACAGCCAGTGCTGGAAGGAGGCGCAGAGACCTCAGAGCTGCCGAGGGATGTGCAGGTGGGCCTGGAAGACAGATTGCGCCTGAAGCCGAGGGTGAGGGGGTAGCAACCACAGATAATACAATTTTTACAAAAATAATCAGACAAAAGGGCCGGGCCACACAGCCTGACCCGTAACACTGCACAGCTCCCCCCAGCCCCTCACCCTGCCTCCAGGTAGGAAGACCTGAATTAGCCTGGGCGGAGGCTGGGGTCCACCCCAAGGGCGGGAACTCTGGTCAGGAGGCCAAAGGCTCAGAGACAGGTAGGGGACCCACCCAGAACCTCAGCTCAGGGCAGAGTGTGGGGGCGTCAGAGGCCACGTGGAGCCCAGCAGGCGTCTGGGGGCCTGACCTGGGGCCCCCCAGCAACCCCCACACCACCCACACCCCCCAGCTGCCATCTTGGCATCTAAAGGACCTGTAAACACTAGGCACATGAACACGAATGACCATGCTAGCAGTGGTGGCCAAGGTGATAGGTGCCACCCCTGGCCAGGGCATGGTGGGGCAGGCGGGGACACCTATCTGCTGTCTCCCCAGTCTCTGTGTTGGCAGCATAGGGTGAGGGTGGGGCACTCCCCCGGCAGCTGTGCTGGCACCTGGGAGTCCTGCAGACGGCTGGAGTCATTACTGCCCAGTAATCTGGGTGTTGTCCAGGGACAGCGGCTGGGACTCAAGCCCATCTTCAGGGGAGCATGGAATAGTGGGGGCATAGCGCCCTGTTCGGTGCTCCAAGAGTGCGGGACCCCAGTCTCCACTCAGCTTTGTTGAGTTTTTCAAATGCTGCAGGAGAGGTAGGCATGAGAAGGGATGGGCGGGCAGAGTGCATCAGAAGGGAGCCCTGGAGTGCCATCCATCCATCCACCCCCTTCTGATTCACTTGGAGAAGGGTGTCCCCATCTGTCCTCCAGCAGTGGAACAGGGCGTAGAGTGGAATGCCCACCACAGAGGACAGAGCTATGAAGAAGCCAATGGCCTCGGCCCACCTTGGATATTTCTGTTGTTGGCTGGTACTCGATCACCAGGAAGATGAGCATAAACTGCAAAGAGTAGCGGTTGGGAGTGGGCATGAGTCCTGCCCAGCCCCACCCAGGCCTTAGGCCTCCTATCAGCATGCTCCCCTCCCTCTCCAGTTTCCCAGACTAGAAAGAGGCATTTCAGGGAGGGTAGGGGTGACATCAATGTTTGCATAGTGGAAGAAGCTGATGGCACCAGGGGTCCAGGGTATGATGGGCAGGTGGGCACTGTGGAAGGGGAGGGGTCTGGCTTCTGTATAATCCTGAAGCAGGCAAGAAACTGTTCAGTTGCCATGGCCCTTGGAGTCAGTTCTACTCAGATTTGCAATGGCCCCCCACTGCCTGCTGAAATAAGGCCGAATCTGTGGCCTTTAAGGCTTCAATGGCATTTTCCATCTACTAAGCATTTTGCATTTTTTGAACTGCGGTGTTGGAGAAGACTCTTGAGAGTCCCTTGGACTGCAAGGAGATCCAACCAGTCCATCCTAAAGGAGATCAGTCCTGGGTGTTCATTGGAAGGACTGATGCTGAAGCTGAAACTCCAATACTTTGGCCACCTGATGTGAAGAGCTGACTCATTTGAAAAGACCCTGATGCTGGGAAAGAGCAGAGGATGAGATGGCATCACTGACTCAATGGACATGAGTTTGGGCAAACTCCAGGAGTTAGTGATGGACAGGGAGGTCTGGCATGCTGCGGTTCATGGGGTCACAAAGAGTTGGACATGACTGAGCGACTGAACTGAACTGAAGCATTTTTTTAATGTTTTCTCCAGACCTGGGAGCTCCTGGGATTGCATCAGTTCTAGGTGTCCAGTGCCCAGCACAGCGCCTGGCACAATCTCATGTGCTGATCTGAACTGACTTATGCAGGGAAGTGGGAGCAATTGGGGAAAGGAAAGGGAGAAGTTCTGCCAGTCTATGGCTGCAGAGATGGCAATGGACAGCCGGGGGAGGCTCTGAAGCCTAGAAACCGTGTCAGGCTGGGGGCGCTCTCAGAAACCACTTTGGAAAGAGCTGAGGGACACCAGAGATAAATCCTAGGGCTGCAGTAACAAAAATACTATAGGAAGCAGAAAGATGGGCAGTTGATTCATGGACCACTTGGAGGGCCTGGGACAATAGGTGCTGCTTGCCAGAAGGCCTCAGCATACATCTCCCAAGCCTTCAGCCACGTCCTGGAGCTCAGACCCCTCCAGCCATTTTAGTGACTAAATTCTAGAAGCCAAGATCCACATCTGGGGGACGCTGCACTTAGAGGAGCTTATAAAAAGTTTCCTGAGTGGAACTAGAGCCTGATCTAACATGTGGACAAATTCTTTATCTTCTTTGAGCTGATAGAATGATGTAGTTTGTAAAAATATATATATATATATTTTCAGCATTATGAAGTAAAGCCTCCAAAAGAAAACTAACAGCCCAGAAGCACGCGGTCTACAGAGCCTGGCATCCTCACCCAAAGGTGATTCCAGCCTGGCTTTCTGAGCACCGAGAGGATGCTGCGGGCTTTGCCTCAGTTTCCTGGAGACACCGGACCCAGGCTGTCTGCTGCATCCTGCCCTGCCGGCGGTGCCCAGGTCTCCCCACAGGGCGGCAGCTTCCTGGGAGCCCTGGAGGATGAGCTCCCCCAGGGCAGGTCCTGGGCCAAAGCCAAAACCCCCGAGGGCACTGCACTTGGCGGTGGCAACTGCCCTCCCCCGCCTCCCGCCACCCACAGGACACTCCGCTCCTCCTGGTTCAAAGCTGGGCCAGTGGCCAGAGCTGGTGCCTGTGCAGGCTCAGGAAGATCCCACACCCCATGTGATGGAGGTCTCAGCCCTCAGGGGCCTTTTTTTTTTTCCTCCCCAGAAACATGAGCCAATGTGGAAATCCAGTGCTGACCGCTCTGTGGCACAGAGGAGCTGGCACAACGCGGGGCACGACTCCAGACACTACCCTGACCATCGGGCCGAGCCCCCTGTCACTCAGAGACAGCCTGACTCTTCTCTGTGGAGGGACCATTACGCTAGCAAATCCCTCCCCCCACCCCTCACCCCTCACCCCTGCCCCTGACTTCTCACCCTGGTCATAAAGGAGCACAGTCAGGTTTGTACTCCACAGACCGCCCCTCCTCCTAAACTTGTGTCTAGTGCACCATGGGCCCAGTACACACGCTCCAGATCAGAGCACCTGCTCCGCATGAGGGCTCTGACTCTTAGAAGCCATATAACCTTGGGTCAGTTACTTAACATCTCAGGGCCTCAGTTTCCTCATCTGTAAAGTGGGGATAATAATGAAACCATGGAGAGTTGTATCATTAGGCTTAGTCTATTGTTCCTGGTCATAGTGGACTTTCCCTCCACCACTTCCACTCCCTGCTGAGGGGTCTGTCTTCCAGGTGTTGAATACTGGTGGAAACCCAGAACTCCCCTCCCAAGCCAGCCTATTCCAGGGTGGCTTAGGATGGTGTCCCGGATCCTGAGCTGATATCTGACTTGCACAGCCTGCTTCTGGAACACGCATTCACACCACATATCCTGAGCACTCCAAGCACCTCGGCTATGAGGGCTAGAGACACGAACTCAGTGAGGCTGTCAGAGACCAATGCCAAGGTCAGTCATGATTCCCATGGGGCTCCTCTGGGGGGATGCCAAGTGGAAATACCAGGGAAGGAGCGCCAGCTCTCAGCTGCTGCCAGCCTCTTTTCCCCTTCTGAAGCTGGGCACTGTCTTCTGTCAAGTACAGGGTCTTGTGCTCCCTTCCTAACCCAAGGCCAGGGCTTAGCTGATTCTGAGTCTCCACACCTGTCTGACTCTATACAGCTTTGCTCAGACTTCCAGTGACCAGAGCTGTAGGTGCGGAGCCCCCAGGAGGAGCTCTGGCCTAATGGTTGGGCTCGTGTTCTTCCTTGGCTTGTTCCCAAGAGAAGGATGCTTGCCATGGGGACAGCAGGGGTGGGACCAGCAAGGAACTTACAAAGATGATAGTTGGTGAGATGAAGCGCCAGCATATCTGGAAGAAGTGGGGCGGTGGGAACCCCAGCATCATTTGGATGTCCTTGGGGGGAGCCGGCCTCCCTGAGTGGGGCTAGAACAACTGGATCCCACTAATGAGGCCTCATTATGGCCAAGATCCAGCAGGGCTGCGGCTGCCTGCTGTCTCCAAGGCCAGAGCCACAGAAAGCTGTCCAGCCAGGGCTGCCTGTTCTGGGCACCTGGCCCAGGCCAGGGCAGCCAAAGCCCAGAGCCTACCCTGGGTAGAAGTGAACATTTGGGCATCATGGGCGACTGGGCCTTCCTGGAGCCAGTGGCCCAGCCAGGGGCTTGGCCCTCAGTCTGGACTCGCAGGAAGTCAGCAGAAGTCAGCAGAGTGTGTCTGGGGACCCGGCTGCATGAAGCTGGCCTGGAAAGCAGCTCAGTCACTAGGGTCTGAGGCCATTCTCTTGGGAGACTTGCTTGAGCCAAGATCACTCCCGATCTTCTCTCCCAAAACGGGCACAGTAGCATACCCACCTCGAGGGGCTGTTGGGAGGATTGAGTGAGTTAATATATATTAATATGAAGTGTTTAGGATAGCATCTGGCTCACAGTAAGCACTTCATATATATTATCTATTACTATTATTTATAATGCTCACTAGCTTCAAAGATGGGTAGATATGATCCCCATTTTAGAGATAAAGAAACTAAGACCAGACAAGTAAAGTAACTTGCCTAAGGAGATACATGGAGGGAGATCCACCAGGGCTGGGGTTGGAACCCAGGCCTGTCTGACTCTGAAGACTTTGCCATAATGATGCAGGGACTCGCTGGTCGTCCAGTGGCTAGGAGTCCAGCTTGCACTGCAGGGGACACGGGTTCAATGCTGCTGGTCAGAGAGCTGAGACCCCACAGGCTGTGGAGAAACTAAGCTGTTGTACCACAACTAAAGAGCCCATGCGCTGCAACTTAGACCCAACGCAGCCCAGTAAACATTTTTAAAATAATAGTAACAAAAAAGTTTAAAATAGTATCATCCTGCCATGTTCCCATTGGGGTCAGCACACTTACCAAACTCACAGGGAAGCTGTCCTTTACATCAGAATTCATGCTTGATCTTGGATCAAGATCCTACTCTATACCAGACCCTTTGCCCACCCATCAGTTTCCAAAAACTGAAAGCTGTGTCTTCCCAGCACCAGAACACTTGTGCCCACCCTCCTGGTCACTGGTTTGTGGTGTCTCAGCACCCCCTGGAGACTGACCAGTGAGTGTGGCCTCGGAGAAGAGGCATTGAGGGTCTGAGTGACAGTCTACGCAGACCACTCGGCACACTCTCTCAGAGGGCCCTCCTCAGGTTCAGCTGACGCAGTGCATATCCTCAGGGGTACGTGGTCTGCATCTCCCCTCTTGGCTAATGCCATCTGTCTTCAGACAGGTGACAGCGCAGTTCACCGGGCCACAGCTCTTTTGCACAGTCACATTCTTTTAACCGTCTTGGCTGGCTGGAGATCCCCGAGTCCTGGGGGGATTGCTCCAGGGCCCATCACCCCTCGGCCCACAGCTCTCTGCAAAGTCTGAGAGGCTCCGGTGGCCCTGTAGCTGCATCCCCTTCTCCTGTCCCTTCACCATCTCTACTGCCCAGTGGTACCCAGCCTCACTACCGGGAGCCCACCCAGTGCCAGCCCTGTGCTCTCAGAAGCATCTGGGCCCCAGACCCCACTCTACAATGGGAATGAGCCACCTTCTCTCTCTCTGCACACACTCTCCCTCACCCTGTGGTTGTGAGTGTGTGTGGGAACATGGAGAAACACACCAAGCCCCACGCCGCACTCTAGCTGCCGAGCACCTGTGCTGGGCAGCATGGGGACGGCCGGAGCGGGAGGGCCAGGGGAGGGGGTAGGCAGAACTTTGGGAGGAGATGAGGTGAGAGTAACTGACGCCGCCCAGCAGGCAGTGGAAGAGACAGGATGCGTCAGTGTCGCCAGGAGCTGGCAGAGGTGTGAATGAGTGGAGGAGACGCACGCACTCCATTACAAGTGTTCACCCCAGGATGGCGGCGGCTCAGGGACTTGTGGACCCCTCCTCCCCAGAACAGGTCAGTCACTTTCTAGGAGGTCAAGCCATAGAGGCAAACACCAGCAGAAGTGACGCAGAAAGTTGCAAGTGTGCAAAGGAGCAGGAAGAGTTGGCCGTGTGGCGGGGCACGGGAGAAGAGAATGGGGGTGTGAGAGCCTCCCCACCTCGGCCCTAGGGCCTGCTGAGAGTCTGCCCTGTGTACCAAAGCTGCATTGTCCTAGGTCCCGGCTAGACGGCCGGGGGTGCCCAGGAATCAGCTCAGCCCCATTGTCTGCGCCATGGCAGTTACTTCTATGGGGAGAGTGGGTGAGGGGCAGGGGGACTTGGTACAGGGGCTGCGTGGTGAGGATGGGGGAGGGGCGGGCCAGCGTCTCAGGGGGAGGCGACAGGCCCTGTGGAATGTTCGCCAGCACCCAGGCTGGGCCCGGGCGGCTCCCTCCCCGGGACTTCGTGCTCTGAGCGGGCCAGCTGTGCTTTGTCCCCTTCTGAATTTCCTGAACCTGGGGGGTGGGGGGCGGCATATAGTAGGTGCTTGTCAACCTCCACGAATGATGCACACAGGCTCTGCTGGTCGGCTCTGGGTGCCCTGTGAAGGGTTCCTGGTACTGGGCCCCAAACCTCCCAGGACCACTGAGGCTCAGGGTCTCCTCTGGGCAGTGACACCTTTGTGCAGGACAAGGGTGCAGTTCCCTGAGGGAACTGGAACTAGAACTGCCCAGAGTCTGTCCTCCAAGTCTGGCGTGGTGCCTACAACTCTGGTCTCACTCCACCCAGCCCAGGTCAGCCTCCCCAGGGATCCCCTCCCCAGTCATGGGCAGTCAGAGGTGGCTCCCCTGGCCTTCCCATCCTGAGTCCCAGAATGCCTTCCTCAGGTCTGACCCAGCTCAGTTGCTTCCCCTTCTTGTAGCCTACAGCCCTGACCACAAGGTGCCCCTTAGAAGCCTTCAGCTGGCTCAGGGGTCCAGCACCCCCTCCCCCACAGCCACCTGCCATGGGCAGCATGCTCAGCCTGGCGATACGGTGGAGGCGGGTTGATGGGCTGTCTGGACACAGGCCCCTTTGTGCCCAGCCCAGCTTGGCTGCTTGGTATGAGGCTCAGCTGCTCCCAGATCCTCACCCAGTGGGGAGAGGGGAGGCTTTGGAGGGGCTGGGGCTGGGGGCTCTCAACTCGAGCTCCCTCTCAGTGTCCCACCTCTCAGATGCTGGCAGCAGCTCCTCGGGTGGGCTGGTGCCCCCAGCACTGGGTGCTGAGGGGCTGGTGAGGGCGGCCCCGCTTGGCACCCTCTGGCAGCCACTCTGCCCTCTGTGCTCCTCCGCCAGGCCTGCCTGCAGCTCCCGCCAGCAGAGGGGAAGCCCAGGGTGGGGGTGGGGGCCTGGAGGGCCCACGGTGTCCCCACTGGGGGCGGCCTGAAGGGTCAGGCCCCTCATGCCAGTGCCTTGCTGATGGTGGCTTTTCTCCCGTCTGCATAGAACGGTGCTATGCCCAGCGAGGCCGCTGAGGAGGACCACAGCCACCAGCGGGGCACCTGGGGCAGCCGGATCGACTTGATGAGAAGCGTGGGCTACGCCGTGAGCCTGGGCAGTGTCTGCTGCTTCCCATACCCCTGCTAGCGCAACGGGGGAGGTGCCCAGTGGGCACAGGGCAGGGACTACCCACGTGGATAGAGCCCAGCCACCAGGGCCCAGCCAGCCCCTTCCAGCACAGACCCCACTCCAGACAGGCTGGCCTCTGGCCCTAATCTCCTTTGCCCCCACCCCTGGCTTAGGGGTGATCAGCCTGGCAGGCTGAGCCCTCGGGGGGAGAAAAGGTAGAGAGGAAAGCAATCCAACCTCCCAAGTCTGTTTTATACCCCCTGCATTTCACCAGCCAACCCCAAAATGATTTGGGGATATCTGAGGACCCCATCGGCTAATGTGTGTGAAATTGCTTGGTTAAGTCACCAATTCTCACCCAAACATGGTGGCTCTGGGACCTGGGTTCAGCTCAGAGCAGATTTCCTGGGGACCCCTGTCACGTTCAAAAACGCCTTGAGCAGTGTGCGTCATACTGAGGCTCTAGTCCGGGGCATGGCACACCCTCCTGAAGCCCAGTCAATTGCAAAGGTTCTGCTATCGGGTTCTGAGCAGGAAGAGGGTGGGATCCCCCAAAGTCGGCCCTGAGCCAGCCCTCTCCCTGCCCAGCAGGAGACTTCATGATCCCCTTCTTCATCATTCTCATCTTCTGCGGGATGCCCCTCTTCTTCATGGAACTCACCTTAGGCCAGTTTGCAAGTCAGGGCTGCCTGGGGTTCTGGAGGATCAGCCCTATGTTCAAAGGTGAGGCCCGGATGTGATACACACACACACACACACACACACACACACACACACACACATACAAGGGCCTCTGGGGGCCGTGCTGACTCACTCATCTGTATAAAGACTGCCAACCCCTATGGAACCCAGGTGTTGACCCGAGGCCCACATCAATGGCCAAGGCCAGGGACCCATGCTGGGATCCATTGTTTTCTTGGCCTCCACCCTCTCCTCCTACCGCAGGCATACACAAAAGCCCTTAGCCCTCTCCCCCACTCAGCCTCCTGCCAAGGTTTTGGTCTGCCCCCTTCTGTGGCCCTCCATGAAAGCCTGCCCCTTTGCCCCTTCAAAATTAGCTTCACATCCTTCAGCTAGGTGTGAGGCTGCTCCTGCGCTTCCCCTCTCCTAGGTGTGGGCTACAGCATGATGCTGGTGTCCACATACATCAGAATCTACTATAACGTGGTCGTCTGCATCGCCTTCTACTACTACTTCTCGTCCATGACGCTCTGGACCTACTGTAGTAACCCTTGGAACACGCCCGGCTGTGTGAGCGTGCTGGGTGACCCCAAATCACCGAGACCCCTACTGCAATAACCCTTGGAGCACGCCCGGCTGCGTGAGCGTGCTGGGTGACCCCAAATCACCGAGACCCCTACTGCAATAACCCTTGGAGCACGCCCGGCTGCGTGAGCGTGCTGGGTGACCCCAAATCACCGAGACCCCTACTGCAATAACCCTTGGAACATGCCCAGCTTCTTGAGCGTGCTGGGTGACCCAACATTACCGAGACCGCTACTGCAATAACCCTTGGAGCATGCCCGGCCGCGTGAGCGCGCTGGGTGACCCAACATCACCGAGAGCTCGCGGTCTCCTGCCCTGCCTTGCAGAGTCTCTCAGGCGCCCCACCAGACCCTCCCGAGGACAAGCTCCAGTGAGGAGTTAGGAGGGGAGGCCCCCATGGGACCCGGGCTTCTAGGGGTTGCCCTGGGAGCCTATCTTCAGCCCTCCCTGCTCGCTGAAGGGCAGTGTTCTGCAGTCCAGGGAGGGCGCCGGGAACGGAGCAGGGCAGGGGTGTGGGAAGAAACACAAGGAGCTCGCGGTCCACTTCAGGAGAGGCTGATGCACGGCTTAGTGAGTGTGCGCGTCCTTACACCGCAGCACTGAGGCTCCAGCAGTCAGGCAGGTCAGACGAGGAGGGTCGGGGCAAAGATGGTGGCTTCCTGGTGAGCAGAGTGCACCAGCGGAGGCCCTTAGCTCCAGATGAGCCGGAGGGAAAGCCGTTGTGACGAGGGTAACAGGTGTGGGGGGGCTCGCCGGCCACGTGGCAGTCTCCAGGGAGGACGTGACTTCTCGGAGGGCTTGCACGAATGAGGCGTAGAGCTAGCCCTGCAGAACCAAAGGAGAGCCGTGGCAGCTCCCTGAGCCCAGGGCTGTCGTCACCAAGCTGCGTTTGGGAAGGGCAGCCTGGCACCCCTGAGCACTGCGCTGACAGAGGACGCAGTCCCGGGGCTGGCCCGAAGCGAGGCTGCTGCTGGGGGTGTTTGGAACATCTTGTCCCCGCTGGGTGGGTGTGAGGGCACAACAGGACGTCCTGGAGGAAATTCCCCACGTCCTGTTGGGGAGCTCATGGGAAGAGGGCTTTGTGGGCTGGGGGCAGGCCTCGTTCATTCATTCCACAAACATTTTGAACGGCCTTGAGACCCTGCCATGAGGAGGTCACAGTCTAGAAGGGAGATGGGTTGTTGGTGCTATTCGGGGCAGGGACCTCAGTGCAGTTGTATGCAGGGGTGTGGTGAGGGCAAGAACAGGTGATCGAGGAGGCTTCCCATGGACTTCCCTCAAGGTCCAGTGTCTAAGACTCCGAGCTTCCCATGTCTCCACTGCAGGGGGCACAGGTTCAATCCCTCCTCAGGGAACTAAGATCCCACATGCCAAGCATGACACGGTCAAAAAATAAATCATAAACAAAAACAAAAACAAAAAACAAGACTTCCCAGAGGAGGGAGAAAGGAAGTATAGAAGGATTGGGAGACATGGACAGATGAGCTGCAGCCAGGAGGTGGCAGACTGGAGTTGGGGTTGGGAGCAGGTAGTACAGAGTATTGGGACAGAGGAGGCCAGGACATCAAAAGGCACAGGGCTTCCCCTGCCGGTCAGAGGGCTCGAGGCTTCTCCACGCTGTGATGGAGAGGCAGGGCTGAGCGGCTGAGGTCCCAGTGACACTCGAAGTCCTGTCAGGTCCACGTCCTCTAAGCCGAGGGCCGGCACTCAGGGCCTCGGGGCCCAGTGTCCCTGGGCGGCTGCTGCTGCATACGTGCTCAGTCGTGTCTGACTCTTGGCAACCCCATGGACTGTAGCCTGCCAGGTACCTCTGTCCATGGAACTTTCCAGGCAAGAATACTGGCATGGGTTGCCATTTCCTACTCCAGGGGATCTCCCTGACCCAGGGATTGAACCAGTATTTCCTGCACCTCCTGCACTGGCCGCAGATTCTTTACCACTGAGCCACCTGGGAAGGCCCTGTGAGGTGCTATAGACAGTCAGAGACGGTTAGGATGTGGTCACCGTCCTCAAGACTCATGGTGGAGACCATGGAGCCATTGCCTCCCAGAGAGGTTTGGGCAAAATGACCTCTGGGCAGATTCACTCGTTCAGTCATTAGACGGGTCATTTCCTGAGCACAAAGTAGGTGCCGAGAACTGAACTCAGAGCAGCGACAGAGCAGGGAGTAAGAGACTCCGCCCACTTAGGTATTCTGCTACATTTGGGGCGTGGTGTGGACTGGGCAACTTGATCTAGATGAGGGAGAGCCTTCTGGAAGGTTCCAAAAGCACAAAACCTGGAGATGCTCCAGAAATTATCACCCCGGGGGCTGTCTTCCAGGGTGGGGCTACTGCTTGGCAAAGCTCAGGAGATTTTATCCGGTGCAATTAGAGGGGAATTTCCCTCCAAGAAAACTAGCCATGGGTCAGGAGGTCCACAGGATGGCCCACTGAACTCCACTCCTTGTCCGGGGCTGGAGCCAGGCCTCCCTCAGGAGCAGGCAGTCCCGGGCAGGACTCCTTCCCTTCAGGATGGCTCCCTGCTGCTCCCTCCTGGAAAGCCTAGGGAAGTGACCTTTGAGAGGGCTGCCCAAGCTGGCTTCAGCAAGATGAGGTGAGCAAGCACCCCCATTTCTGGGCACCTACTATGTGCTTATTGTGGTTTAGTTGTTCAGTCGTGTCCAACTCTTTTGCAACCCCATGGGCTGCAGCTCTCCAGGCTCGTCTGTCCATGGGATTCTCTAGGCAAGAATACTAGGGTGCATTGCCATTTCCTTCTCCAGGGGATCCTCCCAGCCCAGAGATCACACCCAAGTCTCCTGCATTGGCAGGTGGGTTCTTTACTCCTGAGACACCAGGGAACTATGTGCTAGGCATATTATATGACATCACCCCCATTTTCAGTTTCAGTGTCTGATTCCCCGATGTTAAGGAGCTAGGCTGCAATGCTGTGTCAGGGTATGCATGCCCCACTGTGCCTGGTGCCTAATGTGAATTAGGCTGATGATACTGTGCAGGCATTCTGGGTCCACAGGCTCCAGCGACCCTTTGGAAAGCTGCACAATCTCATTTGAGCCCCACAGCAACCCTACTAGATAGTGTGTGTCAGTTTTATAAAATATTCCCATTTCACAAGTGAACAAAGCAAATCAAGACAAAGATTGACTCCTCTAAAAGGAGAAGAGCTGCCAGGGCAGATTTCTGAGCCCATGTCTGCCTTTTGCCCGCCCTTTGGCCTCCAGCCTTCGCTGCCCTCACCATGTCTTTATAGCATGACCTCACAGTCTTCTGAGGGCTGGTCTGAGGCCTGCCAGGCAAGCCCTAAGCTCAGGACCGTGCCCTCATCTCCCAGCAGACACCTGACGCCCAATGGGACTTGGATCCCAGCACCCCGCTCTCAGTGTCTTCACGCCAGCTCTAGACCCACACAGACCTCACTCGGGTCCTGGCTGTGCTACATACCAGCTTGGCCTTGCGAGGTCACCAAACTCTTTACATCTCAACTGTTCATCCACTAAGTGGGAGTGGTTACAACATCATTCTTGTTACTATGAAGATGCAGCAGAAATCTCTAAGAACAGGGACGGTGCTCAGTAGGCACAGTGAGAGCCACTGCTGGAGATGCAGTGATTTAGATGAGAGTGGCCTGTTCTCAAGGCGTTTACCATCTGGTTGGGGACATTAAAAAATAATGCAGAGTAAGTCCAGAGATGTTATGTGAAAGCCAACCAGTAACTATGTGTGGTTCCAAAAGCTTTTCAGTTAGTTGTTTGGTCTCAAAAGCACATGGTCCAAAACCAAAATCAAACATTAAACATGGTGCCATCAAAAAGAGTTCAGAAGATTAGCCTTCCAAACTTTTTAAACCCTTGTATTGTATGCTGAACTCTTGCAATAAAAAAATAATACAAAGCACCACCAGTTTAACATATGTAACTAAACAAAGTTTTTAGAGTCTTTTGAGCAAGGAATGGGTTCCTTACTTTGAATGCTGGTGCTTAAAGTAAATCACCTCTCAGCTGTAGCAGTAAGACCCGGTGGCTATTCTGGAAGGCAGAGCCTCCCAACACGATGTGCCCTAAATAGTCTGCCAATCCGGTCGGGCTTGGGCAGCCCAGAATCTCCAGCCCTGCTGCCTTCAGCTTTGAGTGACCTTGTCTATTTGCCCCATGGGCCCAAATTATTTTTTTCTGCATGTCCCAAAGGGAAAAAGATTGGAAAGCACAGCCCCAAGGGTCCAGGAGCCACTCCAGGGAAGAGGGGGTGGAGCTTATTCATCCCTTTATCTTTGGTCCCCCCATGGGCTGAGAGCTTGGAAAGTTTCTGACCCTGATGCCTGCTGAGCGAACCAACGCAGAGGCCAGTTTGGCAGAAGAGGCATGTGTTGGTCAGCGCCCTCTGCAGGTCACAATGTGAAGGGCAGCCTAGAAGATCTGAGGCAGAGGCGGCCTACTGACTTTTCTTAATAAGAGTGGGCATCCCTCCAGAGGGCCAAGGAGTCGAGGGGCTTTGTTTGTGACCTGTGACTCCGAGGGAAGGTCCTGCTGAGGCAGGACTGCAACGTGCTGGGGTGGTGGGGCTGCTGGAAAGCTGTGTGAGGGGAGGGGAGGCCACAGAGCTGAGTTGGTGGGCTCCAGGGAGGCCAAGGTGGGGAGGGAGGCCAAGTGGAATGGAGGGCAGGCCCTAGGTCCATAGGGGAAGCCTGAGGAGGTTGGGCCTTTTCCTCTGGATCTAGATATTGTCCATTTCACTGGGGAGGCTGTAGTTGTGAATCTAGGATCATCCAGTCATTGTGCAGGCTGGCCTGACTAGGAGAGCACCTCCTCTGCTAGTCCTTGTCATAGAAGGAGAGTGCCCACTGTGTGTTGGTGCCTAAGATAGAAGACCTACTGTGTGTCAAACCACACTAGGAAGGCACCCAGAGTGTGCCAGCCCCATGCCAGGGATCCCTGGTGGTTTGCTGGGTCCTGCATTAGACAAGTGCCCATGTGTGCCAAACTCTGGGCCAGGTGAGGACCCAGGATGCGGTCAGCCCGGAGTGGGGTGAGCTGCACTGTGCGCCTGGCACTGTGCCAGGTGGGTGCCCACGGTGTGTCGTGTCACGCCGGGCGAGCACTGGTCATGTGCCAGGACTCATGCTGCAGAACGCCTGATAAGTGATGAGCCTTCTACCAGGGGAGGCCCTGGTGCATGACAAACCCTGTGCTTGCTGAGCTCCCAGCACCCGGGTTGGGTGAGCATCCACCGTGCCTCAGGCTCTGTGACGGCTGCTGCAGACAAGCAGCTAAACAATTTTGTCCAAACAGAACAGAACAGGTCAGAGTGGGACAGGCCCAGGTGGCCTGTGGTGCTTTCAAAGCCTTCTAGGACGATTTAGATGCCCCAGCACCTAGAGCCCTAGCCTGGGTGACTCTGCTCTTATTCATCATGAGACTTCCCAGTAGCAGAGTCACCCAATGCAGCAGAGATGTGGGGAGAGACCAGTAAGACTCACCAAGGCCTATCTGCCCAAGATACTATACGAGAGGGGAGCAGGCACAGGGGAGGGGACTCAGTTGGACGTCATGTGAGACTGTGGGATTAAAGCTGACCCAGTGGAGCCCTTGGTGAAGGAAATGGCAACTCACTCCAGTAGTCTTACCTAGAGAATCCCGTGGTCAGAGGAGCCTGGTGTGCTGCTGTCCATGGGGTCGCACAGAATCTGACACAACTGAAGCAACTTAGCATGCATGCATGCATTGGAGAAGGAAATGGTAAACCACCCCAGTATTCTTACCTAGAGAATCCCAGGGACAGAGGACCCTGGTGGGCTACCATCTATGGGGTCGCAGAGTCGGACATGACTGAAGCGACTTAGCAGCCGCAGTGGGGCTCTCCTGTCCTGAGCTCCTCTCTACCAGCTCCCCATCCTCTGAGCCCCAGGCAACCCGACCCTACATGTGTATAAATAGAGGCACTAGGTCTCCATGAAAGGAACCACCCTCGGCCCCATCCCTGGTGCTTCCAACCATCCCAGCTGCTCCCAGGCTTGGAAACACCCTGGCCAGCTGGGTTCCTGCATGGCCCTGTCCTAGGAGCTGCTGAGGCATGAGGGAGGCAGCTGAGCTGGCCTGGCAGAGACCATCTGGGCTGGGAGTGGGGGGAGGAACACGTGCAGTGGGCATGTGGGCCTGGGCACGTGCTGGGAAGTTGCCCTCCACAGGGCACCTGCTGCATGGACAGCCCTGCAGAGGCTCCAAGGTTGATACATGGTAGACACCGAGGAGATGCAGGGGCCCATGTCTTCACACCCAAGCCTGGGCAAAGGGGGATGGAAGGAGGACCTCGTGGCCAGGGCCAGCTGCCCACTCCTGCATCCCAGGACACAAATGGCAGCAGGAGTCACAGACCTGGGAGGGCCCCAGTGCCCCTGGTTTACACGCGTGGCCCTCAGCTCCCTCTGCTCTGCCCCACCGTGGCCTCTAGAGAAGGGGCATCCTTCATGATCTGCCCTTAGGGGACCATGGGCAGCTAATGAAGTCCAGGTACAGCTGCCCAGGTTAGCTAAGAGGGACGGCGCTCCTCAGAGACAAGCGCTACATGGAGGCAGCACTGGTTCCAACTGAGTCCTGAGAACAGTGTAGCCCAGGGTCATAAGCAGAACTGAGAAAGACACAGGAATAGAATCTCGAGCAAACACTGGGGGTGCCCAGGGGACCTGCTATGGAGCCTCAGAGGCAGCAGCAGTGGGCACATGTCAAAGGTCAAAGGGCACAAAGGAAACTACGCTCTGGATATCTTTAGGCACATCCTGGTGCTGGGAACAGGTGTCCCAAGGTGGCATTCCCTTCCACAGACGGGCTAGCTGGCAGAGCCTGGGGTCTGGGAAGCTCAGCTGCAGGGGTTCTGGGACCTTGGGATTCAGGCTCTCTCTGCTGCCCAGGTGGATCCCACATCATCCCTGCCTGCCTGCCCTCACTCTTTCAGGGTCACTCCAGAGAAAGCAGAGCAGCCAGCGAGTCCTCAGAGGGTTTCTTAAGTTTCACAGGATTCAGAATCTCCATGAGGGAGGGGCAGAGCCGCACTCCACTTCCTGTTACAGGCCCATGGCCATTCCAACACTTCTGGCAAGAAGGAAGCCAGACTTGATCATATCATGGCATCTACTCCCCCCTAGCAAGTATGCGGGTCTGGAGACCTCCGTCTCTGCCCACACCCGAGCACTCAAGAGCTCAGGCTGGCTCAGGAATACTTTGAGAAGAAGCCTTATTCATTCAGACTTGGTCCAATCAGGAGTGGGCCAGACCAGAGTGGGCCTGAGGGGCTGGATACTGGAGCTCAGGACCAGGCAGGAGAGAGGGCCCTGAGCCTGGGGCACAACTGTGTGGCTGCCTCCCTAACAGCATTTCTCTGGATCGAAGACCTGAGAGTCCCAGAAATCCCTGGTGAGGGACAGGGCTTGTTTGGGGAGGGCTCAGCAAGAGACGCGAGGTCGTCAGTCTCTCACCGAATGAGAACTGCGACAGGAGAATCCACATGGGGAAGGGAGGAGCCAAGGGCAGGGCCGTGCTCAGTCTCACTGCTTCTTGAGGCAATATCCCCAGAGAAGGAATACAACGGCCGTCTTGGGTATTTTCCTGGCTTCTGATTCCAGAGCTGGCCTGCTCCGTCCATCCATGAGCCATCCATCCATGAGCTGGCCCTGCTCTTGCCCTCTGCTTCACACCACCTCTCCTGTGCTCTGAGGCAGTGGGCAGTGAAGAGCCATGACTTGGGGAAAGGGGAGAGGGATGTGTCCTGAAAGATCTCACAAGAGGATTCAACATGAAATGTTGTATGCTATTTTTCTAGTGAAAGAAGAGAAAAATCAGTCTCTGAGGACCCCTTGAGCAGCCCCTACTGAATGCTCCCCACAGCAGGCAGAGTACAGGATGACGGTGCGGGGTGTCAGCCACAGGACAGCCCTCCCGGCCGGACCGACTGCAGCCTGCTCTCCAGGGCATCTTGTGACGAGGGTGGGGACTGTGCTTCCTGCCTCCCAGCATGCCTTTTGGGCTCTGCAGCAGAATCTGCCTGCTGTGGGCTCCAAACAGCATCAGTATCTAACCTGCTGGGTGAGGGGCTGCCTGCCTGGGCCTGTGATAGCCCTAGCACTCAGGAGCCCTGGCAGTGCCAGACTCGGGGCCCCACAGAGCCTCGTGGGCCCTCCTGTCGGGGCCAGCAGCTGACAGCAGGCCCCAGAAGGGACAGATGGTGCTCATGACTCCCACCCCTTCGCTGCTGTCTGGTCCCTGTACTCACCAGCATCTCTTTGGCACATTTTCCTTCCGTGGTGGTAGTGGGTGAGGGGCTCTGGAGTCCCAGATCACACTCACAGGCTTTGTTTCTAGCACCTTTCGGAGTACAGGCCTCCAGAGCTGTGGAGAGAGCAGAGAATGAGGCTAGGACGTGGCCGGGGGAAGGCAGGGCGGACATGTGTGGCTCTCCAGGACAGGCAGTGCAGGCCTCAGACCCCCTGGTGCTCTTCCCACCCCCCCCACCCCCCATCCTGTTCCTTTCTGAATGACCCTCAGTCCAGTGCCTACCTCACTCTCCTCCCAATCCTTCCCCTGAAACCCTTGGTCTCCAGGCTTTCTGTCCCAATGCAAAGGTTTATTTTTGACTCTCCAGATGCCCAATTCTATTTAAAAAAATAAAGAACACAGAACTGGGACAGGGTCCAATCCCTTCATCGTCTGTGTGAATGGCCTCAACCTTGCCCTGAAGGGGAGTCAGCTTGGATCAGCACCTGCTCCCCCACCTCGCCCCAGCCCGGCGGCCAGGACGGGCCTTCCCTATCCTGATGCTGCTCAGCCTGGGCTCCCGGCATCTGGAGTTACATCACTCACTTGGACCAGAAGCTCTGGGCACAGCAAACACAGCATGTGCACGCACGCCTCCATGCCCTTGCTCAGGCGGGCCCCTGCCGAACACCTTCCCTCCTGCTCCCCAGGTGAAATCCCACAAACCCTCTGGGACCCAGCTTCAGCGTCACCTCTCCTCTGCTGCTCCTGACACGGCCCCCTCCCCTCCAGGAGGAGCAAAGTGCCCTCTCTGCTGTGCTTTGTGCCACCACTGTTCTTATAAACTCACTCGAGACATGTCTGCTTATGTCTGTCCGCTGTGGGGTGGGCAGTTCCCTGAGGGACTGGATGTGCTTTACTGACCCCTCTGTGCCCTGCTCAGCCTGCCCCCAATCTTTCCCAGCATAAGAGTCTTTTCAAATGAGTCAGTTCTTCACATCAGGTGTCCAAAGTACTGGAGTTTCAGCTTCAACATCAGTCCCTCCAATGAACACCCAGGACTGATCTCCTTTAAGATGGACTGGTTGGATCTCCTTGCAGTCCAAGGGACTCTTAAGAGTCTTCTCCAACACCACAGTTTCAAAAGCATCAATTCTTCAGCACTCAGCTTTCTTTATAGTCCAACTCTCATATCCATACATGACCACTGGAAAAATCATAGTCTTGACTAGATGGACCTTTGTTGGCAAAGTAATGTCTCTGCTTTTTAATGTGCTGTCTAGATTGGTCATAACTTTTCTTCCAAGAAGCAAACAAGTGTCTTTTAATTTCACGGTTGCAGTTACCATCTGCAGTGATATTGGAGCCCCCAAAATAAAAGTCTGTCATGGTTGTCGCTGTTCCTCATCTATTTGCCATGAAGTGTTGGGACCAGATGCCATGATCTTACAGTTTTCTGATGTTGAGTTTTAAGCCAACTTTTTCACTCACCTCTTTCACCTTCACCAAGAGGCTCTTCAGTTCCTCCTTACTTTATGCCATAAGGGTGGTGTCATCTGCATATCTGAAGTTATTGATATTTTTCCCAGCAATCTTGATTCCACCTTGTGATTCATCCAGCCAAGTTTTTTTCATGATGTACTCTGCATATAAGTTAAATAAGCAGGGTGACAATATACAGCCTTGACGTACTCTTTTCCCTATTTGGAACCAGTCTGTTGTTCCATGTCCAATTCTAAGTGTTGCTTCCTGACCTGCATACAAGTTTCTCAAGAGGCAGGTCAGGTGGTCTGGTATTTCCATCTCTTTCAGAATTTTCCAGAGTTTATTGTGATCCACACAGTCAAAGGCATTGGACAAGTCAATAAAGCAGAAAGAGATGTTTTTCTGGAACTCTCTTGCTTTTTCGATGATCCAGCATATATAGGCAATTTGATCTCTGGTTCCTCTGCCTTTTCTAAATCCAGCTTGAACGTCTGGCCATTCACAGTTCACATATTGCTGAAGCCTGGCTTGGAGAATTTTGAGCATTACTTGACTAGTGTGTGAGATGAGTGCAATTGTGCAGTAGTTTGAACATTCTTTGGGACTGCCTTTTTTTGGGATTGGAATGAAAACTGACCTTTTCCAGTCCTGTGGCCACTGCTGAGTTTTCCCAGTTTGCCTACAGAGTGCAGCACTTTCACCACATCATCTTCTAGGATTTGAAATAGCTCAACTGGAATTCCATCACATCCTCTAGCTTTGTTCCTAGTGATGCTTCCTAAGGCCCACTTGACTTCACATTCCAGCATGTCTGGCTCTAGGTGACTGATCACATCATTGTGAATGCTCATGACCCCCACCCCTTCACTGCTGTCTGGTCTCTGTACTCACCAGCATCCCTTTGGCACCTTGTCCTTCCATGGTGGTAGTGGGTGAGGGGCTCTGGAGTCCCAGATCACACTCACAGGCTTTGTTTCTAGCACCTTTCGGAGTATAGGCCTCCAGAGCTGTGGAGAGAGCAAAGAATGAGGCGAGGACTTGCCCAGGGAAGGCAGGCAGGACGTGGGTGGCTCCAGAGCAGGCAGTGGAGAGAGCAGAGAATGAGGCGAGGACTTGCCTGGGAAGGCAGGCAGGACGTGTGTGGCTCCAGAGCAGGCAGTGGAGAGAGATGAGAATGAGGCTAGGACGTGGCCTGGGGAAGGCAGGGCAGGGCGTGTGTTGCTCCAGAGCAGGCAGTGGAAAGAGATGAGAATGAGGCTAGGATGTGGCCTGGGGAAGGCAGGCAGGACGTGTGTGGCTCTCCAGGACAGGCACTGCAGGCCCCAGACCACCTGCTGCTCTTCACCACCACCCCTCCGCCCCCCCATCCTGCTCCTTTCTGAATGACCCTCAGTCCAGTGCCGACCTCACTCTCCTCCTAACCCTTCCCCTGAAACCCTTGGTCTCCAGGCTTCCTGTCCCAATGCAAAGGTTTATTTTTGACTCTCCAGATGCCCAATTCTATTAAAAAAAAAGAAAGAACACAGAACTGGGACAGGGTCCAATCTTCATCGTCTGTGTGAATGGCCTCAACCTTGCCCTGAAGGGGAGTCAGCTTGGATCAGCACCTGCTCCCCCACCTCACCCCAGCCCGGCGGCCAGGATGGGCCTTCCCTATCCTGATGCTGCTCAGCCTGGGCTCCCGGAATCTGGAGTTACATCACTCACTTGGACCAGAAGCTCTGGGCACAGCAAACATAGCTTGTACATGCACACCTCCATGGCCTTGCTCAGGCGGGCCCCTGATGAACACCTTCCCTCCTGCTCCCCAGGTGAAATCCCACAAACCCTCCGGGACCCAGCTTCAGCGTCACGTCTCCTCCGCTGCTCTTCCTGACACGGCCCCCTCCCCTCCAGGAGGAGCAAACTGCCTCCTCTTTTGTGTTGTGTGCTACCAGTGTTCTTATAAACTCACTCGAGACATGTCTGCTTATGTCTGTCCACTGTGGGGTGGGCAGTTCCATGAGGGATTGGATGTGTTTTACTGACTCCTTTGTGCCCTGCTCAGCCTGCCCCCCAATCTTTCCCAGCATAAGAGTCTTTTCAGATCAATCAGTTCTTCACATCAGGTGTCCAAAGTATTGGAGATTCAGCTTCAGCATCAGTCCTTCCAATGAATATTCAGGACTGATCTCCTTTAGGATGGACTGGTTGGATCTCCTTGCAGTCCAAGAGACTCTTGAGAGTCTTCTCCAACACCACAGTTCAAAAGCATCAATTCTTTGGCACTCAGCTTTCTTTATAGT